TTTCATTAATTATCATTAATTATTATAATTATTAAAACCGTTGGAAATGATGTAATGGCATATAATATACGTATACATATGTAATCAATACAATGTACACCTAGGCAATTATTTAGATTACCTAGTTTATTCCAGGTTCAGCTAGAAAGATATCCTAGTCGGAAGTGACGTGGTCAGCTGTAGTAAGATAGATACTAGAAATGTCTAGGCCCATTGTTGAGGGGTAGACAAGAATAGGCTTATAATAACATACTTAGCCAAGATAATCTATATAAGTATATTATATAATAAAAAATGAATCGCAAAATATGTTGGTAAGCGCTTATCTCAATAACGCCTGGACCAATTTTGCCAATTCTTTTTTTGTTGTGTTGGTTATTGTCAGGCGAAGGTTCTTATGTAAGAAAATTTTTGAAAAGTATAGGGGCGAGCTGGAAAATGGTGGTCCTTTCGTCATGAGCGAGATAGTTGAAGACCCGTGCAAAGCAGGGGCGGGTAGCTAGTACTAAAATAAACCCTTAGATGCGTGTAGAGAATGTCATATTGCTTTAAGTTCGCCTCAAAGTATGATAAGGCGGACTTCATGTTAAATTATGTTAAGGCGGGATTAAAAACCTTGTATGCATTGAAGTATAAATAAATAAAAAATATATAAACACACCGACCCTATATTTGATCTCCTAGAACCCTTTAAGCACGTTACAATAGAACAATTTCGTTGTCTATGCATTTTTCTCTAGATGATGTAAAATAATAATACTCGTTTCCGGATCCTTTATTTATAATCTTGCAAAATATTAAATTGGTAATTCTGTCGCATTTTCGCTTCCTAGTGTACCCAGTAATATTATACACCTATAATATATTTACCTACTGTTCAAATTAATTAACGTCAGTAATTTGTATTTTAACATTTTTATTGCATTTTTACTTATGGTATCACTATATATGCTATCCTCCTTGCGTCGTAAATTAAATAAATTGCCGAGGGTCGTGACCATCCTTTAAAATAACTTTTTCTCACACGTTCTTTCTCCATGTTATCCTGTAGCTGCTGATGTGGAGGACATTGAGGATACTGGAGTCTAAAGCCATGCGGATCCGATCAGACCAACATATTGAGCTGCGACCACCAGGCCTTTTCCCACCCTCTTTACCGGTCACAATATTTCTCTCCAGTTTGTTACCATCTTTATATATTATACTAGCTACTCTCACGCTGTTACACCCGCTGCTCGGCTCCATTTCATCGTAGCCTATAGCACTCAGGAATAGGCACTGATAGATATCAGTGAAAGAATTTTGGAAATCCGACCAGCGGTTCTAAAGATTACAAACTTACAAATTTTACCTATTTATAATATTAGTATATAGGTATTTTCAAAACAAGCCCTAAATACGTAGGTACCCAACTACACAGGTGTCGATGCTATCACGACTGCGCCTAAGAAAGCCGAAATCAAAACTACAAAACACTCATGTATCGATTGTTTCCTTCAAATAAGAATGTTTTAAAACACCACGTTTATACATTAAATACTTACTACTTTCTCAATTATAAAAGAATAATAATGTAAAAGTCTTTAATACCTACTTATTATTTTTTTTTTTTTGTTAAGTAGGACTCTTATTTAAATCCAATTTAAGTATCTTACCTATATATAAAAATGGATCGCAAAATGTGTTGGTAAGCGCATAACTCAACAACGCCTGGACCAGTTTAGTTAATTCTTTTTTTGTTGCGTTTGTTATTGTCAGGAGAAGGTTTTTATCAAAGAAAATATTAGAAAAGTAGAGGGGCAGATTAGGAAAAAGTGACCCTTTGGTAACGAGATAGTTGGACCCGTGCGAAGCGGGAGCGGACCGCTAGTTATTATAAATGCGAAAGTAGGTAACTCTGTCTGCCTGTCTTTTCTTCACGCCTAAACTACTGAACCTATTTGTGTAAGTACCTTTACACAAATAGGTTCAGTAGTTTAGAACTCGAGATAGGATGAAAGATAGTTTTTAAACCAACAGTAAGTCACTATTTCTCGTGAACCCTTGTTCACGTGAAATAGTAGCTTAGTAGCTAGTTGATTATAATCCTGCTCATATTGTAAACGCGAAAGTTTGTATTGCGTATGAATGTTTGTTACTCTTTAACGTAAAAACTAAGTACCTACTGAATTTGGTAGTTTACTAGGTCAAAAATACTTAAAATAATTCGACGTTTCAATACAACAAAATATTGAAAAATAACTATACTTTTATTCATCAATCCATCGATATACCTACTCAATTTTAGATATTTTGTAGCTAATTGTTGAGAAATAAGTAAGCTATTTGCCGCGAATACCTATACTATGACGTCATAACTCAGTTTATCATACAAAATTTTATTGAAAAGTATATGAGATTTGGATAAAAGTATTGAATTTGACTAGTTGGAATCTACCGTATTGGTTTGAATGAAAGTTAAATTGAAATCCTAAAAACACCTAGGATATTTTTCCGGTCGATCAATATAGGTATGTTATCTAGTCTTTCGTGTAAAAAGTACTGAATGGATCTGCATAAAATTTAGAACACTGATAGATTTTAATCCTGGTAATATTATAAACGTGAGTAAGTATATTTATAGAAGTACGTATTTTTGCAAAACCTCATTTTATGCAACTTCGATTTTGCGATAGATTCATGATTGCATAAGTTTTAATCTTAGTGGTGTTTAGTTGCTATTTTAAGTGATAGGTAATCCTGTGTTTACTGTAAATAAGAAGGTATTAGGTAGATATAATAAATAAATGAAAAAAGTATGTTGATATTTGTTACTCTTTCGTGTAAAAACTACTGAAATGAGATAGATTATAAACCTACCTACTAATACTTATTATATATAAGTTTGGGTTATGATTAGATAGATTTTTAGGTAGGTAGTCTTTGAAATAACTATAGATACTTAACTAAATAATAATTTTACTAAATAGATAATAGTTACTAAGGTTTGGCACGAAGATAGATTATATTTGGAATAAATAACGTATAAGCAACTTTCCACCCTGGTACTATGGAATTTAAAGTGCGACTGGAAGAAGTTTACAATAGACAAAATAAGCAATGTTGGTAGCTATATCTAACCCTGGCTAACTACGTCTAGCTATCCTGCACGACGCTCCATTGTGTTCGTTAATCACTAGTTATTAATTAACCGGTTCAATATCGATAAGTAATTAGTTAACTTAGAGCTACTCGCATTCCCAATTAATGACTACGCAAATCCCTTTGTCAATTCAATCGTTCCAAATTACTTTTTCTTACGAAATTGTAAGCATAAACAATCAATTTATTCTTGTCAATTATGCCACGTTAAGCACCATGGAGTATATTAACAAAAAAGTATTTAAACAGTTAACTTAACAGTACTTATAACTGGTCTAATCCTTAAATAAATACACCACGTAGGTATTTGTACTTTGTAGATACTACGAAAACCCTAACGAAGTTAAAGATAGAAAAAAAATGATCTAAAATACGTTTTAATTTTTAATTATGCAAAAATAAATTGTTTAACTAAAAATATGGATAAATCGAATCAAAAATACAATAAAATCAATACAAGAGACGATATTTATAAACGTTTTAAAACATAAATGAATATTAAAATAACAATAAGTAAACAGATTCGTTAATAAAACTCACGAACAAAGTTTATTTGCGGTCAAGACGTGAAATATAACATGAACGCTGTACAATTAAAGTAATGATCATTAAATTCCACCCCCGAGAACATAACATTAGAATGTTGTGCAATTGTAATACCTAGATGGTACACGTGTCACTCTGAAAGCGCTTGGCCTTGAAAATCATTATAACTATGTAACATACATTGTACCTATCATCTTACATAATAAAACCGTAAATGTACAATATCGATCCCCGATTAGCTCTTATGTTATGAAATATCGACTTAAATAAAGTTCCAAACGATAACAGAGTCAATCATATGAATATATTTACGAAATAATGTTCAATAACAAAGTTAATTGCAATAAAGGTAACCTAAAACTTATAACGTTTATGTAGAGTTTTTATGTCGCAAAAAGCGAACTAAACTGCTCATGAATGCATATATCGTGTAGAAAAGTTGTTTTTAACAAAGAAGAGTGAGTTCAAATCGTAAATGTATACCGTGGAGAGGCCCATCGGTGTCGGGCGGATGTTATATAGCTACGTAGATAAAACCTTCCGCCGTGCGCAGCGCCCCTAGCGGCGGCCGAGATCATCAAACTTCATGCCGTGTACAACCCTCCCAACAAGATTTGAATGAGTTTCGCCAGTATGTTTATTACAATCTTATTTATTTTGTTCGAAAATTTTGAAATGTTTATTAAGACGAATTTTGAGAAAAAACATAATGTTTTCACTTTTAAAAGGTGCAAACTGTGCAATTCAGATATTTTTATGGTATTTGAAATATATTTTCACGAGTTGTAAAAAAAATATACTTGCTACTACGAAAATCATTTAAGTTCTAGTAAATATACTCAATAGGTTAAATCGATAAAATGCCATTCCATTCCATGGTAGCCTGGACGTTAAGGCACCCACTTCTCATGGATGAGAGTTGTATAGCTGGCAAATACCAATGTAACATCTCTGACGTACAGCTAAGGGAAACATCATGAGAAATAGTGGACTTATAATTACCATTGTAAGTTTGAAATGCGTGGTGATCAATGCTCAATCCTTCTCCATATGAGAAGCTTTTACTCATCAGTGAGCATTTATAGCTTGATAATGTGATGTGTAACGGAATAATGAAGTGTTTTAAGATATTTTAAAAAATACAAGCATTTACTTAAACATGTCATAGATAGGTAATATTGGGTGTAGTATAACTTTTATTAAGATTCTTATTACTTTTATTTGATTTTAGTCAATTTGATAACATAAAAGGGTAAATAAAACATACACATATACTAAATCATTTATTTCAACTATTTGAAAACTTTACATATTTAAAAGCCTTTGGAATGAGCCCATTGAACTAATTCATTAACATAATCACCTTTAGCTTCTATAAATCTCCCTACTTCGTGAACACGAGTTTCTACGTATCTATTGTTCTTTTCTTTTAAGTATTGTTTAATTTCATCGTTTAGGAGCCAAATGTCACCTTCAATCCTCTTTACTTTTGTAATTTTACGGATACCTCTAAACGTTATATTTAAATAAATTGGCAGTTCATGATTTTTCGTCCTTGCAATAAAATAAGGAAGACTCTTAGCTTCTTCTTTTGGAGGAATCCAACCAGATGGATAATGCTCCTTGGGGGTCACTTGAGGTATAGTGTCAAATGGTAACAACCTTTGTACATAGGCCCACTCTGGTGGACTCTTCACAATTTCAAAGTCATACTGCTCCTTTATTTTGGTTACGAACGGAGAGGTGCCATAAGTAGAGTATTTTCTTGATAATACCTAAAACAATGAAAAAAAAATTTAGTTCACATTTTAATAACCTATTTCGTCCCTGCAAATACAGATAAAAAATATTTTATAACCATTTGTCATGACTATAATAACCTAACAATGTTCAAAAAGTTGAGAAAAATAACATAACAGTTCCTTACGCAACATTAATCAAAGTCATTCTGAAAATAATTTAATGTCACAAAAAATATGAAGTCGCGAGAAACTTGCGTGGAGGGGTGTACGTCCATAGTTCTGTCACATGTCGCGGTCAAAGCGACATTACGACTCGACGCGAGTGAAAATATAATTAAATAATTACCGATTGTGATCCCGGACCAAGTTTTGTACCCAAATCAGTCGCGTTGTTCAAGATTTGTCCAGTTTTTCCAGCAAAAAGTCGCGCAAACGCGCACTGTGATCGCCACACGGTCGCCATTTTGAATAGCGAATAGAGAATTGCTACAAGAGCAATAAGAACTATATTATTCGTTTCGAAGGAAACATTATGGCGGACGCCTGCAGTCATTTGGGCTTTTCAAAAATCGTTTTCTAAGTTTAATCGCGAGTTTATATTGAACTTTTTCGCATATTATGGTGCATTGTGTATCTAATTAACTGTTTATTGTGGTTTTTGGAGGTTTCATTGGATAAATTGTGAGTATTTTGTGTGGACATTGCAGAGGTGCGCCACGGCTGGGGAAATGATTTGGTGCTTTCGTTCGCTCGACGCATACGCACTCGCTCAGCTGTAGGTGGCGTTAGGTGTCACCCGCGGCCTCGCCACCAAAACATCGAGTTTTTCATGAATTTTCCGGCGCGATTCTATATGTTATGATAGATTTGAAAAGTTATTTTGATTCAGATATATGTTGACTATAGTTAAGTGTTCCCAAACAAACAGTAAATTAACCAGAAATAAGTGAAATGAATGTGATATTGCGCGAACTTGTTGATTAGCGCGCGTTGGCTTTTGTTTACCACGGTGTGTAGACACGATTTATATGTGAATTGTGCCAAATTATAACATAATAAAGTACACAGTACACATATTTAGTCAGAAAAGTAGAAATTTCTGAAAGAATCCCTTGTTATTTATCTTAAGTTAAGAAGTAAGTTAGGACATTGTTCAACAAGTGAATTTTAATACCACGTTGCTAATTATAGGGCGGTAAGTGTATTTAATGGATGTTTATCGCTTTCCAGGTCCAGATGGCACAACATCAAGATGTATTATGGCTCAAAGTCATCCCAACACAAAGATAAAGGAACCATTGACAGTGAAAACTAGTTGTTATTTAATTAAGGACGACAGTGGTTGTGATAGTTGCCCTGAGGAGATCTTAACTGACAACAATCTACCAGATACAGACTGTGAAAGCCAGCATTCAGAGGTCAGCAACCAGAAACATACAGCCGATAGTCGGGCCACCTTGTCGATCAATCTCAGATCGACTAACAAGAGCAAAGCTGACAGCCAGCTTTTACCTGATGTCGAAAAAACGGGGACATCTCCCACCACACATTCCAACATGAAAACTAAACAAGCTAAAGAAGAAACTGACAAGAGTATTGATGAGGACACCGTGATAGAACCTAAGACTCGTGCCCGCAAGAAAGCTTCAGATATAAATGATGATGACAAGAAATCCTCTCCAGAGGAGCCTAAGACATCCAAAGAAACTAGGAAACCCATAGTCAAACCTAAAGCTGTTGTCAAGAAGAGACCTTTGGGTATCAGAAAAACTCTAAGAAGCAAAAAAGCTATTATTGTCAAAGAAAAAGTAAAGTCTGTCATAAAGCAAACTGCTAAGAGAGGGAGAAAGGCTGCTATTAAAATTAACCCAGAAGAAACACAAGACAAAGAAACCGTCCCTTTGATACCTGCCTCTGAAATCAAGAAGGAGCCAGTTGAAGACACTACTCCCAACTCAAGGTCCTCAAGCCCCAAGACAGCAGGCAGGAGACAGAGGCTCAGCTCTGACATGGCCATGATGAAGACAATGCTTATTGATACTCCAAGTAGCCTGGTGCTGGGGCCACGAACCAGCCCTTACTCCATGCGCTCTGAAAGAAGCAATAGTCCCTCATTGTTTGAAGGTAAAAACCTTCGCAGTGGGAAACCAAGGAAAGTCAAGAACAACTTACTGAGTGAAGTTGTAATCAAAGAACAGAAGAAAAGGCGTAGACTGCATTCAGATTCTAAGGCTTCAGACACAGCAGAAACTCCTGAGGACTGCAAGAAGCTAAAGAGGGGACGCTCCTGCTCTCGGGATGGCAGTGAGATATCCAAGTGCTCGGATAACACTGAGTCTGACCTGAGCATGAGTGAAACACTCAATGACACAGACAGCAAGGAGCTCAACAAAAAAATAGATAAATCTAAGACTGACCTAGATGTAGATATTGAAAATAATGTACAGATCTCGACTATTGAAAAAGTGCCTTCTCTTATTGTTGACTCCAAACTAACTGAAACCAAACAGGACCTCCTGGAGCCTAGCATAAATGCAAAAGATAAGAAACTGAGCTTAAACAGAAGTACTTCATTAGACTCTGACAACAATAATAGTAATAGGATAAACATAGATGATTTAAATTCAAATGAAATAGAAGAAAAAATCTTAATGAAGACTGATAATACGCTTTTTGATGCTCGTAGTAGTATATTGACTAGTATGTCTAAGACATTCAACTCGAAGGAGATGGTGAAGAACATAAGGAAAGCTCGCAGAGGTCGCAAGGTGATGCAGGCGTCGCGGTCCGCGCCCCCGCCTGCGACCGCAACCGCCGTTACCTCTGCTGCCAAGAACTGCATCCCCAGCACCATCACCAACGACCCCGCTGAGGACAAGGTGGAGACCATCGACACGCTCACCAAGGAGATTAACGACCTCATCAACAACTTGGATCAGAATATTGACGGTGACATGGAGCTGGTGGCGGACAGCAACGCAACCTCTACTCCTGAACAATTGCAGACAAAGCCTGCTTCCAAATTCTATGGCTTAGCCAAACCTCTGAATAACGGAGACAATGTGCCCACTCCAGAGACACCCGTAAAAGACAAAGATATGATATGTCCTATCAGTAATGACAACACGCCGTCCAAGAATGATGATGGTGAAAACATAAGACTACACTATGAAGAAGATTCTGTGGAAAAACCTATAGATGGCGCCAAGCACGAAATTCCTTTCAAGTGTAATACAGTTGCTAGCATCGACAAGCTCATGGATAGACTAAAAGAATTCGAAGAGTTCGATAAGAGAAGACAAATGGAGTCGAAAGCCACTGATGGTGGTAAACCAATGATGGTTACAAATGATGTGGTACTTATACCAAAGTCTGGTGACATAAAGCCACTGAAAGACATACAGTCTGTTCGCTCTCCTGAGAAACCAATAGAAAAGGAGAATGTGTTGAGTTGTTTTGAAAACAACTCTGCTATTTCAATAGTCAAGAGAGATCAAGTAAGAAAATCCACCGATGTTGATTTGCCTAACTCAGTCACTCTTATTAAAAGGAACAGTTTCAGCTCAAGGAAGGAGTCGACAAGCTCTAATCATTCACGAGAAGCGGATGCCATCAGCATATTTGAGAAGTCACTTGGCAAGGATGTCACACTAACAGAGATAAAAAAATCTGTAGACAAGTCCGCGCCGCAGACTGGCACTCCGATAGACCTACATCAGTTCGCGACGCTACACCCTAACAACCCGACCCAGAGCCTGGCGGGCGTCGTGTTAGATTCCAGTCAGATATCTATTACACCTCGCATTTCAGAATCCAAAATTACCAATGACGTTCAAATTATAAGCAAGAGGAAATCGAGGGAGTCGATATCGCGCAAATCATCAGAGTCTACAGTGGACACGGAAGAGAAGATGGCGACGATCGAGAAAATCAAGTCTCCGTCGCATCACAGCGTGTCGCCCGCTGTGTCTATCACGCCGGCGCCAGTCGCAATCAAGTCCCCTGAAGTAGCACCTGTGGAGACAGAAGCACTGCCCCCACCGATAGAAACCTTGAAGACTATTGAGGATATGTCTGCATCAGAGGTACCTAAGGTGGAGGAAGCAACAATTGTCCCTGAAAAGCCGAAAGAAGAGGAGCCGAAGGTAGAAACTGCAATTGCTAAGACAGATGCCCCAGCAGAGACAGTTCCCACAGCGCCTACTCCGTCTGAACCAGAAGCAATGGCAGTTGAAGAAACTCCTGCTGAAAAACCTGTCGAGACTGAAGAAGCACCTGCAGAAAATAAGACTGAGACAGTTGCTGATGCTAAGCCAGTGGAACAGGAAGTGAAGCCAGCTAAGAGTCCGAAACCGAGTAAATCAACGCGCAACTCGACTGAGTGCCAGCCAGGTCCAAGTAATGCTCTGAATGAGACACCTGAGAGTCAAAAGCGCAAAGAAAATGTGCTTAGAACTCTAGGCTTACTTACCCACAAGGCTGCCAAGGAGGCGAAGATTGAAAAGTTGAGAGAAAAGGAGAGGATATATGGTTCTAATTATGGTGGTATGATGTCTAACAAGAGCAAAGCGGCGAAGGCCCAGGGAGATTACACTGGGACTTTGAAAACTGTGATAAAGTTGAACAGGGGAGCGGGAGACAAGAAGAAGCATAGGAGTTCTCTGAAGATGACCTTCCAGAAGAGCAAGTACCGGTCCGGGAAGCCAACGCCGGAGGTGGGCGAGGCTGCCACGGAGGATGACGCCTACTACACCATTGAGCGGCGCGAGGTAAGCACTTACACACGTTACTCATTCTTTATTATTTATGTCTGTTTTAAATACTACCAAGTAACTATTCCAATTTATTTTTTAATATACAGTTATGGTTAAGATTGATTCAATATTATCATACTAATTCCATGCTCTATTGAACAATGACTCAAACACCATTCTATAAATTTGTAATAAGTACAGACAGAAAGCTCTATTAAACTCTTGTTAGGTCTAGGTATACAAAGTTTTAAGTATATGTATCTCTGAAATCTAGAAGCCCATATCTTAATGTTTCAGGAAAATAAATATTAGTATTCTGTCAGTCAGCTGTTAGTCATCCGTAAATCTTAAAATTTTAATATCAAAAACCTGATAAAACTTTATTCAATAACAGTAGTGATAATAGTTTACACTGTTCAGTAATATGTAATATCTTTACTTATAAATAAGTAAGTATTACAAATCCCGTATGTATATTACATGAATTATTTAACTTTACTGATTAATTAAGAAATATTTTTCATATTGATTTTGCAATGAGACAGGATTTCAAAGTTGTAATAGTGTCTTATTAATATTTTGGGAAAAGCTTAAAGCTCTTAAGCTTCTATTTTTAGCTTTGTTAGTTAGTGTATATATTATGTTCGTTCATAGCTATTGTTCTTAATTGAATATAATTATTATGTTTATATCAATTTATAGTGACTAG